CCTAACTCAGATTACATTTCTCTTTATCTGGTTCTTTCTAACAAACATGTCTTTAAGTTACTCTTCTTGTAGAGTCTCTTATGTTATATAGAAATGTATTGTATGGTCTGTTTTCATTTGCTGTAAACAACAATCATAACAAAAAAACATTGAATGATTTTTTAATCATGTAGTAAATTTGTGTTTACTGAATTTAAATGCTAACATTCTTTCAAATTGCCCCATTTCAGGAAATGTTTCTGATGTAAGTCAAATTAAACAAAATCTAAAAGAATATAAATATATTCTTCTTTAGCATAGTTTCTATTGTTTCTGATCTCTCAGTCATTACAATGAGATTGTATGTTTTTGTCCTTTAAGGCAAGGCGAGTTTATTCATATAGTACATTTCATTATTTCAAGACAAATCAGAGGGCTCCATATGAAAGAAAAAGAACATAATAGGACATTGCAGTGCAGAAGCATCTTGATTTAAAATCTGTATTTAAATGCTTTTACATTTATCTGGGAACTGGAAGCTGCTACCCCATATTTGGCTCTGCTTCTGGGTGTGCAGAGTACATTTAAGCCAGAAGACCTGAGAGGTCTGAGTTCTTTTGGTTGATACACTAAGTTGGTAATCTAGTTTTGTGCTTAGTCATTCAGTTAAAAAGTGACAGAAATATTTTAATGTCTATTCTCTGAGTTATAAAGACCCAATGTACAAAGTATAGAGCTGGCGTGACGTTCTCCACTTAGTTTTAGTGAGGACGAGGACAGCAGCATTCTGGATCAACTTCAGCTGTCTGATCAACTTTTTAGGCAGAACTGTGAAGACACCTTGACAGTTATCATTTACACTAAAAATGAAGGCTTGAATTAGTTTTTTAAGCTCATGCTTTGAAATTTGTTTTTAATACTGTAGTGAATAACAAAAAGTTTAATGTCAGATTTTGTTTTTCTATCCTAGATATGTTATTTAAGTGACTAAAGGCCAATTTTGTTATTATATTTAGGTGTGAGTCCACTTAGATTTATAGTCTAATTGGTGTTTTCTAGCTGCATTAACTGAAACTCTGTGCTAGCTTTTACATTTTGTCCTTATATCCAGAAATGATTACTTGAATTTTGTTTTGATTCAGCAGAAGAAAGTTTTTCGCCCAATCAGTAGACTAATTTCTTCTCAGCTTTTGTTTGGGCTCATAGTCACCTGTTGACATTGTGACATATAATTGTGTGTCATATGCATATTTATGGTAACATATGATGTTTACTTAGTAAATAGAATTCTACTTAAGACCACTGATATACAATAATATATATTTAATTTAGCCCTGTTTTTAGTCTTTTTAAATGAATCTAATAAAAAGTAAAAAGAATATATCTTTTCTTTTGTCTTGTACTGCCCGACTGTTTATTCAATTAGCAATAGTTTTACCTACATTTATCCGGTTTTATTGTTGCTTAAGTCAGCTAGGATAATATTTGAACAACAATATTTTGGTTTTCAAATCAATTTCAATCAATCAAAATTACATTTTTCTATAATAAACCATTAAGCCCAGAAGTAATTTTACTTGTTTTGGAAGCTTTGAAAATAAAAAAAAAGTACTGTATGAAAAACATTTTGAAACAAATGGAAAAAATATGTGAATAAAAAATTACAAATCAAGACAGACTGGCAATATAAAACTTAAACCTTTCTTATCTCCTCTTATATACAACACTTTAAATGGGGCTGTATAATGGAATGATATACTATGATTAACAGCCTACAATTGTATTTCAGCTATCCATCTTCTAATGTGATGTTTACACCAAGATCAATGAAAATTTTCTAGATTTTTATTTTCTTTTAAAAAGTACCAAAATATGGTGTCATTTAAACGGGCATCTCAATCTCTCTCTTTTTTGCAAAGTTGATATGTTGGTAATGTATAAAAAGAAATTATCCACATTCTTAGAACTTTTAACTTTGCCCTTAACTTGCAGGTTTTTCACATGGTATTGGTTGAACCACACATCATTTCTCCTTCATCCTCTACTTCTTCTGTTTTGTTTTGCTCTGTTTGAATTATGTCTCCTTAGTATCCTCTTGAGAAAAGAATTAAATACATTAGTTTGTCTACTCAAAGCCCCCTAATGACAGTTATGTTCAAAGACCTTACCTGAAACACATTTCTGACCAAGAAAAGATACCATTAAAAAAGCACCTTAGTGATTTAAGATCTTTTGATTGATAAGGTCATTTTTCACTTCCTTAAGCTTTCTAAATCTCAACTCTAGTTACCTCATGAAGCCAAACTACACCTTTGAGTCACACACAGCTTAAGGTGTGTTTTAGAGGATAAAGCATATTTGCAGCCACTGGCAAATTTGGAAATTATTACAGATTTATTCAAGTGACTGAAAGTTCAAATTACTCCATCCCTCGAGTTTTAAATTATCGCTGTCATTTCCTTCTCTTATCTATACTTATTACAACAGAGTGCGAAATGTGTAATGGGGTTGGGTTCAAGCTCTGTCACCTTGATTATGTGAATAAGGGCTATTTCACATGGCTATTAGCGGAGACTGTTGACCATTGCTGCTCTGTTCTGCTCCTCTCTGTGTCTTTTTAATACTAAATTAACTAAAATGTCTGAGCTTGATGAAGAACAACAGTTACATGTGTAAAATCTTTATTTTCCTTCTGGTCTAGTTATTTGCAGTCACATTTGAGAACAGGATCCATAAATCAGACATGAATAAATGTTGCTAGAGTTACTTATTTTTCTTTAAAGGAGCTAGTTAGCATCATTTAGAGTTTTGTGATGTAGGATCAAAATTGCGTAATTTTTTCCCCACCAGACAAATTTCATATATGCACTGCATCGTCAACAAAGGTTCAAATTCATAAAGCATTTATGGATAATACATTGTAAAGGCAATTCCAAAAAAGTTCAAAACAATGCACTGGACTTTATTTCCAAGTTTGAAGACATTTCAGGAAGCTTTTTTTATTCCCTAAGCTTCCAGTGGATTTTTTTTGTAACTTTTTATTGGTAAGGCAAGTATCTGCTTTTCATGCTGATTTAAACTCAGTCTGACACACAAGCCTCAGTCATTTGAAAAAGATTTTTATTTTCTAGCTGAACTCATTTTGAAAATGTTTGTTGCATATTCAACTTTTCAGAAGAAAATAATTGACGGTTCTAATAAATCTTTAAAACAAACAATGGCACTGAGTTAGCTGCAGAAACAGTACTAGTTGCCATCAAATGTCATTCAACTCCACAATCACCAACAACAAAAAATGAAACCTATACCAATTTCATTAAGAATCTTAAAGCAGCAGCAAATAATTTTTGAGTCGTATTTCTCCTAGAAACCTTTGGAAAATAGCACTGTTGTAGACATTGACCTCCGCACACCTCACACCTGCTGCGCCGTCACTCTCTAAGCAGTTAGACCTTGCCCTGGTCCGATTCTTTTGTCTTCCTTGGCTGTCCTGCCATAGGTTTGCTTTAGCTTTTTTGTGGACTCTGCTATGTTATAAGCCTCCAAAATAAAAGATATTCTATAATCACTTGAGGCATGAGTCTATTAAAGCCAATGGCTTCATATTGGGCTGCCGTAGACCTGTTTACCGCAGGAACGAGAACAGAGGCGCAACATTGCCACCAGGGTCGTGGCAGAAGCGTTCAACAATGGTTTTCAGACTAGAGCCAGAAATTGGAGACCACTTAGTTAAATTATAAACACTTAGATTATCATTACAGGGATTTAGAAGAGGATGTATTAAGGAATTTTTTTACTTACTGTAGTACTGCTTTAAAAAAGCTAAAGTGATGTTTTATTTTTAACTTCTGATTTAAAGAAACAGACAGACTCTGCACATCCTCAGTGTTCATTCGTGATTTTGGGAAGTAGTCACTTGTCATTGAGTCCCTTAAATTAGTTCGCAAAGCAGTTACTTCTTTTTAGCATTAGATAGTTGTAATCTATTACCCTTTGAGAGAGAGTACCATTTCGTTTTCTATTACATTCCGGTCCCACTTAAGCAGCATGCAGCAAAGAAACTGCCTTCAAAGAAATGTCACTATGTGCTCCTAGATCATTGGACTACCTTTAAGGATCTTATCATTTCTATGTGACCAGCTAACAAGCAGCTTGGCACACATAATTATTAAAGGCCCTCACATCCACTTTACTGTGCTTTTGAGTGGTTGCCCTCCAAGTGCCGGCTCTAATGCCTGGGCTGCAGGATATATTAAAGGACAGTCACTTTTTTCTCCTAAAGCTGTAGTTCTTCTGAACTCCTAGAAACCTTCTCTACTCCTCAGAGTACAATATATAACATTCTATTAGAGAACCTAATAGAATGTTTTTATTTATTTATGTCTGTAGATTTATGTGTATTTGTGTGTGCTTCTGTTTTGGTAGGTAAGAACCATTTTTCAAATTTCAGCATTCAATTTAGGACCATTTGTACAAAGGTGAGGACATTTTGCTGGTCCTCACTTTCTATGTTGCTAACTGTTAGGTTTAGGATTAAGATGTGAAGGGAGATTAGGTTGTTGGTTGTAGGTTCACACTAGAAATTACTTGGTTTAGGGTTATTAAAGCTGGGATTATAAAACTCATGGATGATTGTGTAAAAAAAAAAAAAAAAAAAAACATACTTCTTGATTGCACCTTACAGTATGTCTATTTTTGTATCAGATGTATCCAAATGGGGAAAGCAGGTAGTGAGGTGACAAAATACTGATTTTCATTTTTGAAGCAGTACTATTCTGTCAACAGCTGGATTCACTGAAACTTTCATTTTCTTTGCATGAAAATTCAGTGATGGAGTCATTTTAAAATTTAGCTTTGATATAGCATTGCATTTATGGGAATATCTACAGGATTCAAGAAACACATAAAATTCTGAAGATGTTCTCATACCTTGAATTTGAGTGTGCATAAAATCTCTCAGGTTATCTTTGCTGCTAAATTTAAGGATTGTAATTTTTGTGTCTTGTTTTTTCCTCTTCTAGATATTAATGAATGTGGAAGAGACCCTTGTAAGAATGGAGGAGTTTGCACTGATCAGGTTGCTAACTATTCTTGTGAATGCCCAGGGGAGTACATGGGAAGGAACTGCCAATACAGTAAGTGATGTTCTTTTTTATTTAATTTTTTGTAATTTTTTTGTAAGGTTTCTAATCCATAGGTTTTCTACTTGTTCAACATCAAAATATCTATATATTCACATTTAAGTTTATGTTCATGCTTATTTTCTTATAAGAAATCTGTGGTACAGGTCATAAGAAAGAAACTCTACAATGATTTCTGTGGTACAGGTCATAAGAAAGAAACTCTACAATGATTTTTTTTTAGTATTTATATTTCCACATTTTTTTCCCCCCTCTGTTTTACCATCTCTTTCAAGTTGAAGATCTGTGTGTCTCTTTCTGGCAGCAACACTAGTCCTGACCTCAGCAGCAGCAGCTCTCACGCAGATTACATTCCAGCTGCAAAAACATAAATGTGGAATTTGTGTGATTTTCCTGCACCTAACAGGATTCACTTGCATAACTAAATACCCCATTATGTAATTTTGCAAAAATATTACATAGCAAATATTAAGCTCTGTCATTTTATAAAATTCCAATTTTTTATGAAGTGACGCTCTCAAAAAATTTAGTTTGGAAATAAAAAAAGCAAATGTTCTTCTTAAAGTAATTTAGGCAACATGCTAAAGGCAAGAAAGAAAATCTATTTTTGTTTTGAAAAACAGAAATAATGACACTTTGTTTTCCTTTCTAGAGGCTGTTATAAAAGAAGCCATTTTGATCATGAAAAGCCTTGCTTTTTTACAAGTTGCCCCATAGCTTTACAATCATTAGTTTGTAATGCTATTATTGGAATAGAACCTGCAGCACTAATGAATTTTAGGATTAGAATATCTCTAGACCTTGAATCTGTAGCCATTGCCATTGAATGGCTGCATTCAATTATAATGTTATTTTCCGTCTTACATGTATAGCCTTTTGTTTTATTTTTTCTGTGTGGGGTGTACATTTGTGTGTGTGGTCTTGTTCTTAATACATTGTGGGGCCCATTTTCAGGGAAAATGGGACGTTGTAGGGACAAATTCCTCCTTGTGGGGCCCGATGCCTGGACCCTACATGGGGAATTGCTGTTTTGGGGTCAGGGGTCATTTTTAGGATTAAGGTGTGAATTGAGATTAGGTTGGGGTTAGGGTTAGGTATGAGCCCATTATGGTTAGGGTAATGGTCACAGTTATGTTATAGAAATTAATGGAATTCAATAGAAGGGCTCCGCAAAGATAGTGAAGCTAGTTTGTGAGTGTGTTTTTTTTTTGTTGTTGTTTGTTTTTTATTACCTAGGTACTGCAATAAAGGCTTTTTTGTATAAATGTACTTCTTGTATAAAAGGTACCCAAGTTCTATGATGGAAACAACTGCTTGTGGAGCTAACATTCACAAAAAGAAGGAGGGAAGCAAAGATACAGTTTATCCTGGATGATTAGCAACACATATCTATATATGAAAAAAAATACTCAAAACAAAAGGTGGGGCTACTTATAATTGTGAAGTTGCGAATACTTTCACTTTAAAAACCAAACAGCATGTTATTAAGAAGTGATTCAGCATTTTAGGCACTATTAGAGCTGAAATAGGATTACTAAGATGGCTTGCTTTCGATGTTTATTTGAGTGCATTAGATTTGATGTTATGACTACAAGATTAAAATTTTGACTCTGAGCTGTAATTGGACGATGTTTACACCTTCAGAAGATGAAGAGTACAGAAAGGATTTCTAATTTTAAAATATCCCAGGGGACCACAAGTCCTTCATTATTTTGCTAATATAAAATGTCAAAAGCTCTTAATAGCCCCAAAGCTAAAAGTCAACTCTATAAATGTTTTCTGGGTGTGTTTTCATTTCAAAATATGAAGTTCTGCAGATTAAACTTGATTTACAGATGTGTCTGTAACAGTAAAATACTATTCAGTTCTGCAGTATCATACACAATTAGCCAAAAAGAATGACATTTATTGTCTGATAAGTTCATGATAGAGCATATTGTTAGATGAGAAGGTTTTTCATTCTATCTTAAATGCAAAATATTTATAATAATCACTGCTCTATGTGGGTTGCTACATGAGCTAAAGGCATGTTTGAGTCTCTATACTCCAGTTAATGATTAATTAATTACTAAATTAATTGACAATTAGTTCAATAAACGATTAATTACAATAAATCGTTTCAGCCCAGTTTTTACAAACTTTCATTGTTTTGCTGCTTAGTGGCAACTTAAATCTCATTTCCTTAAAGCCCTTTAAGTCATCAGCTAGTTTTATTAAAGGTTACATTTGTAAACTGCAACCCATATTTATACCAGTTTTAGTAACATAGTTTTGTTCTCATTTTGCTAATCCTGCAGCTGACAAAACAATATATAACTTTTGTTATTAAAAACTCTTGACAACTGGTTTAATGTTGCTCCCTCTTGTTCCTGGGTATACTGGCTCAAAACAGTGCTTCATTAGTTTAGACTTGCTTGTTACCAACTTGCATTAACTCTTTGTTCGTGGATATAATCAGCAAATCCCAGGCACATTATAGTTTTGACTTTAGCAATTGTATAAAAGTATCTATTATTTCAGTATCTTTGAATGTATGGTACTCTCCATCTCTCCCCTGCCTCTGTATTGCTGTTAAACTCAGTCTGTGTCAACGGACACCCACAGTTTTACACCTCCTCAGCCAGTTTGCCTTAACATGTCTTTATCTCCTTTCTCCTACACTGTATCGGCTGATACAAGAAAATAAATCCTAATATTGGTCCAAAATATGACAAGAGTAGACTGATACTGGTCTACCTCTGATGGGAAGTCGCATGAGTCATGCATATTAGCCGCCATTAAACAAATTAGGATAAATAATCAAAGTGTAAGCTTACTTTTACATTGCACAATTTCTGAAACCTGTAAACATTAGCCAAGCATTAATGCAAAAGTAAGTAAACAAAAAGTCACACTATGTGCAGGAAATAGGAAGAGTACCAGAAAGCACAAAACAGCTTTGCATATGTAAAGAATAATTTTCACTTGCAGAAATATTTGATTATACGGTTGTGAGCACAGTGTGATGAGCCTGAGTTTGAGACTTTATAATTTGCTTGACCTTCTCAACATTCAAATATTCACATATTCACTAGAAATGCACCAACAATCATCAAATAATCAGGTGACTGGAATCTGCTGATTTTGTGCTTGGTTGGTTATGATCTGTGTTTAGCTAATCAAGAACTAAATCTCTGAACTGTTTCTGCTGTTATGAGCATGGAGGAATGGTTTAAAATGTTCCTCTCTAAAGTTGGAGTTAGCTAATACTTTTGTTTTAAAATTATCTATGAGAAAAAAAAAACACATTTGTGATGTATATGTTTTTATTTGCTAATACAAGATAGGACAAGAGAAAGAAAAGTTAGTCTGTTTTTTAAAAGACTAAAGGAGAAATGTTGCTGATTCATGTTATCTTGTGGTGCTTAACACATTTATAGATGTTCAGTGTTTTTCATGGAGAAATAGGACTGGAACCTGGTGGTGCTCAACAAAAAGGCAAAAAAAAAAAAGGTTTTTCAACACTAAATATTTCATTGTTTGGACAGCTTTATTTAAAAAATACATTTATTTAAAAACAACAAGATCAATCTGTATAACTACTTGACTGACGAACAGTCATATGTTGCCACAGTGTCACCAGCCTGACTATAAACCCTTTGAAGCATTAAAGAGATGCATAGAATAGATTAATGCATGTCTTCAGATAGCTTCAGAGCCACATAAAGTCATTATGAATCTTCTCTATCACCTGAGGTGATTACCACGATTAGAGGAATGATGTCCCTTTGGGATCTGGAAAAAATGTCTCTGTGCATTTATCTTTAGTTCAATTGAGTATACTACAGCATTATTTTCACAGGGGTGCCTAAAAAGTCAATCAGACAGCTACTGTCAATACAGAATGCTGCTTCTGGCATTGTCAATAAACCTAGGAAAGGAGTGCAGATAATCCCCGTTCTAACGTCCTTACATTGGATCTCTGTATCTAAGATGAGAAAAAAATAAGTAAAAATAATGATTCCAGATTCTAAATCACTGAACAGCTCAGCAACAAAATGTAAAAAAAAAAAAAAAACGTTATCATTATATACATTTCTTATCCATATCCTCAGAGTCGGAAACATGAAGAAGTAACATTCACCTCTTTTGCTTCTTAAATTTGGAAAAAAAACTCCCAGAACACTGCTGAGTTCTTTAATTTCATACAAACATGAAAAACCATTAGTGCCAGTGTGTTATCCAACTTTTCTTTCCCCAATTATGCATTCCAGCGCATTTATGTGTTCATCTCGGAAAGCAATATAAATGTTATTGTTCCTGAGAAATGCAGTATAATTAAAAATGTGTTACTGTTCATAGTTGTTATACTGTAGGTGAACATCTTAAAATAAACAGACACCTACATTTTATAAAGTAGCATGCTTGAGTTTTAATTTTTTTTTTACCTTCTCATCTATATTCATATGATAAGTATCTTGCTTAAGGTAGTATGTAACACACAACGTTTGGTAAAAATATGCAAAGAATGTGGAAGCACTGAAAGGCAAATTATTAAAATTAATGTTCATTTTGAAACAAAATGAACTATGACAAGTGGGAAAGCCAAACATTTTGCTGTTGCAAAAGTAATAGAAAATTAAGATTATAATACAGAATTGTGAATTCAAAAGCAAGTACCCGCCTTATTTTATTATTGATGTGTTTTTATTTCAACTGATTTTGTTGAAGAGACTTTGGGATGTTTATACTGAAAAATATCTTTGCAGTAGTCATTTTAATTACCCTTCATGACAAAAACAATGTTTGATGAGCAGAATTTCACCCAGTTCAATTAAGATGCGTCTATAAGCCTGTATCCTTCTTTACTGAATTTACCTTGAGTTGGAAGTTCCAGCGTAGTTCTACGGATGTGACGTCTAGCATGTTCATGTTGAATTGGTCCGATCTAGCAAACAATCAAAGGGTTACTTTCAAGATGGATTTTGTGGATACTTCAAGTGACAGGCATCCAG